TCAGTGCCTCTGGATGACTTATGATACAGCAGTCGATGAATGAACCGGTATGTCTAAGAATTAAAATCTTAAGTTTCAAGTGGTCATTTGTGAAACAGGGCTAATTTGACATGTGTCTGAGACAATCAGAAAAATGATCATATAGGAACACATAAGGTCACATTTGCAGAGCATCGAACAAAAGCCGTTATATGTTCCTAACCTAAAGAAAATAATCTACTGGGGATATCTCTGATTTAAGACCTTATGTGCACTGTGCCCTTGGTCTTTACGCCGGAGGCAACACAATGTCATTCCCAGTGCTCAGGATGTATAAACAACACACCTTTCTAGCCTGCAGCATTTCTAGCAAACCTCTTCATGCCTCAAAAAGGGACTGCTTTGAAATCAATTTTCTGAAGATATGGTACACAGCTATGATAACAACAAAGTTGCAGTTGTACCATAAAAGAAAAAGAAAAAAATCAAATTGTACCATAACAACAATTTCCACCAATATGAGGGTCCAGTACATAACCGTGCATATGTTGAGTAAACTGGACTCTTGCAACATGAGGATGTAAAATCACAAGATGTTGCGGAATGGCCATGTGATTAATCTTCCAAGTAATGTTACATCAATGATTTGATTTCTTTAGAGGTGGTGGAAACCTTTTTTTTTTATTTCCCTCCTATTTTAAGTCTGCTACTTTCCATTTACTCTCACCTGCTAGAGGTTAGGTTTAGCCATAAAACCTGCTTAGAATTCATGTACCTGCTTTAGCTTTGAAATTGTCTTTTCCCAGAAGAGTATACACTGTCACATATAACACGCTGTAGTAGTCGTGGGTTTCAGTTTTCCTTGTGAATCATAAAAGAAGCCACACAAAAGGTTGCCATTTCGTAATGATTCATCCAGGAATGTGGCACTGTTGCGTTTATGCGCATGGAAAAATAGAACTATAACGTGATTTCTGAGAGCGAGCACAAAAAATACTGTCTTATTATTACCGCAGCGTGGCTTGAGGCTGTCGCCTCATTATGGTCCATCCCAAGACTCCAGCCTCATAACCTATAGCTGCAGGAGGAGCTAGAGCCCAGTGGGTTTGGGGAACTGCAGGGTGCTGCAGGTGCTGCACTGAAAGCTGCTCAAGGTTACGGAGAGCATGAAACAGAGCGGGTGAAACTGCAACACACACAAGTGAGAGCTGACTTACAGGGAAGACAGCTGAGAGGAGGAAGACTTCATAAGGAAAACTTGACATATACAGTATACTGCATACTTTTAGATTCACCTGGGATTGGGAGATCTTTCACAATGTTAAAATCCAACTCCAATGTTGATATATTGAATAAAAATCCATCTTTTGAAACCTACATTTAGTTTTTCAGTTCGTTTTTATAGATGATTTAACCACTAAACCTCAGCCTTTTAGAAAGGAATAATCCAGCTCCTTGAAGCCAGTTGATGCTTACACTCAGGAGAACTCAATTTAACGATGTTGCACTTTCCAAGGTAAAATTTCAGAAATAAATCGTTCTGGTATTCCCTTTCAAATTTAATCAAAAAATAAAATTCACTTCTATAAAGAGTCATCATGAGATGACTACAAAAAAAATAAGGCACATTTCTCCTCACATCAATAAACATTTTTAATTAACAACAGAGGTTTGCTCATTTGTATATTTGGATTATTTAAAGCCCAGTTTTTGCAAATTCTCAATAGAAGTCATGTTAAATTAAACCCATCACTGTCTTCATTACTCTAATTTCCCATGCCTGCTCAGTAGAATTAACACACACATACAAATTAGTAGATCGGTGATAAGCTGAGTGCTTGCTTATTCCAAAAAATAAGATTCTGCCTACTTCTGCCACCAAAATATAAATGTTTACTTTAACTTATTTAGCAGAAAAGTATGAACATAATATATATATACAAACATATTTACCTATTGCACCATGGTAAGTCACAGAGAATGTATTCTAACGCTGAATGAAACTCTTCCTGTGTGTTTAAAATTACTGTTATAATGAACACATTACTGTTAATCTTAAGATTGCTGTGGGTCAGCACTATAATAAATAGTAATGAGAGAGGAACTCACAAAACAAAGACTCGCCCTGTTAACATCGAACAGCCCAAGGGGATATCAGTCGAGTACAAAACGCATCGGTACTAAAATGGCACTAAAATGCATTCTGCATGACTAGATGAAGACAGATGCTAAGGACTGAGTGATACAAAGCATAGTCTGTTATGTGTTCCCCGCTCCCTCTGAACAAAGAACATCCACACACAATGCCTGTCAGCAACTGTCCTTCCCTGTGGCTAGGACAGAAAAATAAACAGAATCATTACCAAGCATGGCACCCAACACAGGGTGCAGGTCTTAATGGCCTGGTGAACCAGTATTTTTTGCAGAAGAGAAAAGAAGGGGGGGGGGGGGGGGGGGTGCAGGACAGTTTTACGCCTAATATTCAGCTTTTGGTCCTTAAAAGAATCCAGCTGAATATGTCGCTCAATTGTTTTGGAGGTTTGAAGTAATATAAGATGCGTTCTTAATTAAATATGAGGCTTTAGTGCTCGAATAAGCCATTTATAAGAGAATAACTTAGAGGATCTGGCAACTGCCCGAGGAGCCCGAGGATTTGGACCGGTAATACCGCCTTATAATTAATAACCTCGCGACTACATCAAATATTTAAGGCCTATATTCGCTGTATATAGCCGGACTACAATCGATTCATTTAGGCGTAGACTGGGATGCGCATGGATGAATCACCGAGAAAAACTGTGGCGTTAGGTGTGAACACACTTCCCGGCGAAGCTTTTGGCTTTAAACTGAGTTCACCGATGAACGTTTGCACTTGAGGAACACGAAATGTCTTTTTTTTTCCCCCCGTCAAAGCTCAACGCCCTGATGCTGAGGGGCAAAACCCACAGGCTTAGCGATCAGCATCCGTCCGCTGTCCTCCGGATGTCTCCAAAAAGACGACTTCCCTCACAGTGGCCACAGAGCGTTTCAGCGATGCTATCGGGTGGTAAATTGAACGGAAAGCTTCTTTTTTGTTGTTTCAAAGCAAAAGAGTAAACGTTGCCTTACCTGGAGAATGTCATATGTTGATAAGTCACCTCCTTTTTGGATCGGGCAGGGATGGGGCTGGCTGGTAGCGCATCACTGTGTTCCAACGACGGCCAGCGTACGGAGCGCCTGACGCCGGCGCCCCGGAACCAGCATAACGCATAAACCTGCCCACTGCAGTTGTCTGCTGGAAAAAATGACAGCCCCGCTGCACCCCGCACGAGCCCCTCCGTGTAGTCCGGCACCTGGTCCGGTTTTCAGGATGGTCAAAATAACTGCCCAAAACAGACTTCACCAGACGGCTCAAATACTGAGAGGTCTTACAGAAATAACCCAGTGACCATGGGATGGGAAAACTGATACAACTGCAAAACGTTATGTGATGTTATGTAATTTGGATTTTCAAAGGCAGTTCTCAAAATCGACACAACTTGTATTTTTTTTATTTAAAAGTTTGTATGTCTTTGATTTTCTTTTTTTAAATGGAAGAAGGATTGAAGTATGTTTACAAGTCCTTAAAAAAAGTAGGTCAATGGTATGAAATTTCTCAGTGGAAACATAAACAGTTGAAGAATTTTATCACATAATGGTGATCAGAACAGAATAGAACAGATAGACAACTTAGTTGGGTTCAAGCACATTTTTGCTACCATTTAAACCATTTATTCAAGTAATTAATTAATTATCCATACCTTTTATTCCTTCTAGGGTCACAGGCCTTATAAAGCTGTTTTTTTATGATTGTTTTCAATCATTAACACTTAGTAGGGGTTTAAGGTATCTTTGATGGCCTCCTCAATGCTAAACATGACGTTATGGATTTGCAGTTTTTAGTTTGGTACTTTTTAATTAGGGCAGGTCAACCCACCAAACACCACATAATACAAAAACATGACTCAGATGTACGGGACCATATGTCTTAAAATGGCCTGCCAGCAGTGCAGACCTCTCGCCCACTGGAAACATTTGACAAATTGCAAATTAGCCTCATTGTTTGCACAGTTCAAATGCTATAAATGAAATTCAGTATCGTACAGCAATGAATATGCCCTTTTTTTTGCATGCAAGGATGTGCCACCTCCTCGTTCTATCTTCCATCTCAGAATGAAAATAACACTGCCATCTAATATGCTCCCCCACACTTGAATTTCATTCTTTTTATCTAAAACTTTCTCTGGACTGTGCTGATATGAACGCCCTGTTAATCTGGGGTTGGCTTTTGGATACATCTAGCCTTCAAGTTTCAAAGAGAAAGATAATTATTTCATTTCTGCTGTTCAGAGAAGGTACATTAAGTTTATATTTTCAGCAATGCAATTGTTTATTGTCTCTTTTCCAAACTATATGCATTAAAATTATTTAAACATTTACTATGAGTGTTCTGCATGGATTTTTTTTTCATACTAACATGCACACATTTTCAAACAAAAAAACAGGATTCCTTCAGAATCTTTGTAACTACCTCTGGGCCGAGGCTGGCACTGCCACCGTGTGGTCATGTTTGAGTATTACAATAATATTAATCAGAAGAAAATCACGAAGAAAGTTGCTCCTTTTTCTCTCTTTATCCTTCAACTAAAACAGTGGTAAATAATTTTTCATTACTTTCTGTCTTTATTTGTTTTTGTGGGGGGTATTTTGTACGATGTAGACTGGCACAATGTCAGCAGGAGGTTATAATGATTTTTATAATAAAACATTTTCAGGGATTTTTATCCTTTGAAACTTGGGATGGATTTGAAATTACTTATCAAACCTTACATTTTGAGAAAACCTTCTGCAAACTATGGGTATTCCTGAATGTTAACTTTTGATATTGTAGTAGGACAAAATAATACAACAACACAAAGTTAATGGCAATATTATAAATCAATTAAAAACGTCAATACTTGATAGTACTAATCAGGTTTATTGAAAATCAATATCTCTTACACTCAATATTTTTCAGGAAGACCTGGTGGTCTGTAAACATTGGGATTTCCCCCTTCACGCCCATGTCGATTTGCCTGCTGATCGGCCTCAGTATCCTCGGCACCATGACCCAGTTTTCCTTGTACCCACTCTCGTCCGTCACTGAAACCCAAAATACATAATTTTCAACTTCAACAAATGACAACCATAAAATAGTCAGACAAGATATAATAAATTTGTAAAAGATAACAGTGATAGTCTAAACAGTCCTAAATATACATTAGCCTTTGATCTACAATTACATATATCTTTTTTTCTATTATTTCTGTTTCCCTCTCACCTGACTACCTCCGCAGCCCATTTGCCTCCTGCTCCTCTTCCCGCAGCGTCATGGTTTCCTCTGGCATGAAAGTATTTGTCAGATTCCTTCCAATTGGACTCCCTCATATCAAGGTAGGCCCGGCCCATATCATAGGCTCCTGATCAGAGAGACAGCAACAGTCAACATTTTGTAAGAACTCAATTACATATTCAAAAGCACAATATTTAACAACTGGTGTGCAAAGTACAATAGTGCGTGAAGTGAAAAAGACTCAAAGAGGGTATAGGATCTCAAATTGGCCTAATTTTTTACCTTGTGCAGCTTCAATAGGAAAGTTGTACCATTGAGCCTCGGATTCCACAATTAAAATAAGAACAACGCCGGCCAGGAGCAGCTTCATGGTTACCGAAGAAAAAAAAAGGTTGCTGTGATGTTCTTTCTTTCGTATAAAAGTCTGAACTCAGTCAGCAGAGTTTAGAGCTGTCAGAGGAGACTAACTTACCAGTGATGACTTCTCATCTTTTATACTCCACTGAGCATAAATGTGAAATGTGAGGTAAACACAATCAGGGAAATCCGAAATTGTGCAATGCAGTTGCTGACAAAGCTGGAACACAATGTTACACCTGCACATAAGCAAAAGTCACATCTAATCCTTATTATGGCATCACATTTTATTTCTGCAAAATTCACATGAAACACAGGGAGATTGAAAATGTTTGTGGTATTGTTTCTGTTTGAGACATCACACCAAAGGACAACAACATCAGCAAAGCATCTTACCTGTTTTATTGTAGCAGTTTTCTCATGAGGCTGAGTTAAAGATAAGTGAGTTTAAATGTAAAAATCAAAGGTTAAATAAGTTAACAAAATCCACATTTTATTGTAAAACACAAAAAAGATGTAGGCTATTTCCTATTCTCACAACAGCTCAAAATCTATAATTAAGGCACATTTTTCTAATGTAAACCATTGACAAGGATAATGACAATATATGTTATTAAAAATTAAATGTTTTGGTCAAGCAGGTGCTTGACAACACATTCAACTTGTTTGACTTGGAATCAACCAAGTACGGGCTGTTCGATCTGGACCTAAACAAATAAAGGTCTAAACAAGTTACAAAACGTCACTGTGCTGTGAGCAGTAAAAGCAGAGCAATACTGGAAGATTCCAGCTGGGATCATGTTTCATTACATGTCTTATGAACACACGTTTTCCAAAGTTATGGGGAAAACTTCTACACAAAATAATCTTAAACATGATTTTTTTCTTGATCTGATGTGCCACTTTTGAGGATGTTGGGACTTAAAAAAAACTCATACAAAACAACAGCTGTCATAAAAACAAATTAATAGGTTTACCACCAATTTAATTAAATCAATTCAATTTGTGTAGCCACTGCATATATACAGTCCATTTCAAGCCAGTTAAGATCCAATTAGCCTTTAGTGTGGTCGCCCCAAAGCTCTGGAACAGCCTGCCTTTGAACATAAGAGCTGCCCAGACTATAGAGGAGTTTAAGTCCTGTTTAAAAACCCACTTATTTGACTTGGCTTTTAACATTGTAACCTTAGGTTGAGGTAGGGCACCTTTTCTACCTTTTATGTATCTTATTTATTTATTATTTTTATTTATTTATTTTTTTTACATTAAAATCACATATATATACTTTTTATGTACAGCACTTTGGCAACCTTGGTTATTTTAAATGTGCTATATAAATAAAGTTGACTTGACTTGACTTGACTTAACTGTACACTGAAAATCCAGGTTTCAAATACTTACAGTTTAAACAAAAACAATTTGAAAATTTGATCTATTGCAACTGTTACTTAAAAATACCACAAAAAACAACCCTCATATGCTAGGTAAAAATGGGGAGAAACATTTTGTGCAACTCCACTGAAAGGTTCAAACTTTCCTGAAACGTTCTATTTGCTCTGATAACGTTCTGACCTTCGGTCACACAACAAATATCAGGTTCTTGACAAAGCCTGAAAACTTTGATCAATAAAAAAAAAAACGTCTGAAACTCTGATCAGGTCCATTTAAAAAAATGTCAATAATAATAATTTAATGAAATAGTTCAATAAATTCCCTTTTTCTTTGTCAAAAAATCAGATTGAGTCAGACACAACGGCCAAAAAACCATCACACAGAGAAAAAATACATTTTACCCATTTTCTAGGGCAGTTGATCTTTCTTCATCAACTAAATTCTCTATGGGTCTATGACAATTATTCTAAATTTATACAGAATTTCTCATTATTGCTTTGTTTGAATATTTAATGTACTGCAGAGTTTCTTAAGCCACTGGAAGCATTCAGGCTGTAGCTCCTCTCATGTGATGTGAAAATAGACGGGGGCTCTTGGGTGTTTGACATTGTTTGAAGAAGTTTTCAAAAACTGAGAGAGTTGAAAACTGAAATTTTCAAAGAAGTTATTATTTCTATATCCAAACTTTGTTAACAAACCTTTTTAAAGTTTAGTTTAGTGTTTGAGGGAGGAGAGTATGCTTTCTCTAACATTCTCCATTCAAATTCAAGGAAAATCTTTGACACAATCTGTGACATGATAAAAAAAAACATGACAGGTCTGTAGTTTAAAAAATTCGATCAGCCTGAATAATATTGAAAAGTTCATGGTATTGGCATTATTTAAATTGTGTGACGATTGGAAACGGAAGCACAAATCCAAAGTAGTTGCTGATCTGCACAGGAGATGTGGAGAAAAGTTTGAATCAAATCTTTAAATTGACAAATGATGTGTCAGTAGCATAACAGATCATGGATTCATGATTTCAATTAATGATGACTCAATGATGTCATCAGAACAGAAATTTGACCTTTGACGCTTGTATTAAGTAATACAGTGAAACCCCATGTATCAGCTCTTATCTGTTTTACAGCAGCTATGTAAATAAAGACAAATTACTATGATCTTCCTATCTTTAAATTACTTTTTAAAGTACAATAGAAGACTGCAAACAAACAAATTGTTGACAGAGAGACGTTTCCTCTTTTGTGACCATGACTTTGCCAAAAAGTTGGTACTGGGTCAACAAAAAGTTGAACATTCATTCTTTCATTCATTCATTATCTTCAGTGTCTTCTGTGAAATCCCCCATTTTGTAAGGCACCCATTTTCTGGCATCACTTAAAGAAATAGAACAGTAAAAGAAACAACTAATAGCAAAAAACGGTGGTGTTCAGTGTTGATGATAAAAAGAGGCACGTCTCAAAAGAAAAAATTTGCAAACTACTGCGAGATGTGAGAGTCATAGATGGGTTATCTGCTGTTTTATCCCATCTATGAAACAGCAGATAACAATTGACAAAATCAAGATACTAAAATGTCTAACGGTTAATGTGGTGCTGTGTAGGTTTAAACTTGGACGCACAAAGGAGCAGCTGAAACTGTGGTATATTCATTTTCAGATGTGCCAGAATAATGTTCTCAAGCATGCAGCAGCAGCACTGCGTCATCACTAGTAATAATAATGTGTGATGATTGTAGTTTAACGGACCCAGACCACCTGGAATCAAGAGTGCCTCTGACTCTTTCTTTCATTTAGCTGATGAAACAGCATTACACAGACTGATCAAACCTGTCAAAAGAGATTAGACGAATTCAGCTGGAGTTGGGGCAGTAGCCGTTTATGATGGAGATGTTCGGCGGTTCAGAGGAAAAATAGTTACAGAATGGGCCATACAAAGACTTCCTACACATACAAATTTACCCCAGCTGAAAGCATGTTCCGTCATGTCCAGAGTGTATCCTACTTCTTGCCCGGTGAAAACTGAGATAGGCTCCAGCACTCTACAACTCCACATTGGAATAGGTGCGTATGGAAAATGGATGGATGCAGAGGGAGGAGATGTTTAGCATTGTCACTTCATAGCAACAGGTTCCCCTGGTTGTAATCGTTGTTGAGGCTTTACTGAATGAGATTTGTACATTCTTTGTCTATTTTTTCTGTTTGTTCCTGATAACTGATGCTTCTGAATAGACCCCTAAGAAGAGTCCAGATGTATAGGTTTCAAGCTTTATATGAAAATGACGTTTTCTTTCCCATATAAATCATCATTCTATTGAGGTTGTGTCAGGAAGACTTAAGGCAATTATAAACGTCATCTTAGTAGATTTAGTAGTGTAGATTTGCTCATAAAACCTTCCTACACAAATTCTAACTTTTTTGTAGAAATGCTTTGGGACATAGTGTTTGCAGATAACCCATCTTGAGCCCTTAATACATATTTTTTTTACTAATTTAAACAAAATTTGGTACATTTCATAAAACAAAAATGTTCCCTCCAGAGGCCATCTTACCGCAAACATAAATAATAAAATTGTAGGAATCAAATATAAATGAAAAGCTTGCAGATGGACCCTGATATGTTCTAAACCAGTACCAGGAGCTCAGCTTCAGCACCCCAGAGGAGCATCACTGACTCGAGAGCAACACTAGAGGCCGCCAGGGAGCCGTGCAGCGCGCGAGGCTCCGGGCGAACGTGAACGGTGAGTAAATGTTCTTTATCGACTGTGTGGGCCTATTGGCTGAAATGGCATGATGATAACAGAGAAAGCGCACTGGCTGCTCGTGACACCGACTCGAATGTAACGCGTGACAGAGGCCCGACACGTGAGCAACAGATCAAACGTAAACTACAACTTCGGGAGGGTTGTGCGTAAAAGGCATCCTCGCAGACGTTCTCACAATAACCCCCAATTTACGGATCCCGTAGTCCAACAAGCACAGCCAGGGGGAAAAGGCGAGGTCTGCAAATAGAGTCCTGTCATGTAATACTTCAGTTTTCCTCCCCTGCTCTCTGTTACCAAAAAGTGTAACAGAAAACACGCTTGGAGCCTTGCTCTGAACGAGCACGCTTCTCTCCTGGTTTTTGTTATTATGAACCAGAACGCCTTGTGTCAAAGCAGATAGGATCCACAGGGATCCCCCACTTTGTTTCGGCTCAGATGCCATCACAAGCTGCTGGTTGTGAGACTGGGAGCGAACGCCTCTGTGTGTGCTGTGATGAGGACCTCTGATGGAACGGTCAGAGACGGTCAGCCGTAGTGAGCGCGCGCGGATTCTTCGCCTCAGCTCCGAGTGGACGACCTCCTACCGACTTATTTCGCGTCACCCCGCCCGTCTGCCTGCCGTCTCATCCCTTAAACCCCTTCCTCTTTCCCTGAGACCAACCCTTTTGTAGCCACTGTGGGCTTAGGCAAGACATACGCCGAGAAAAAAAAAGTGATAGAGCCAAAACAGAGACTCCCAACACCACATAGGCACCTGCTCCAACAAGAGAAAGGAGGGGAGGAGGAGGACGCACAAGTGCAGGCGCGTCTACGCGTGCCAGTCGGACAAGATATTAAGCGGGCAAAGGAGCAAAA